GGGGGGGGGGGCAAGAGGCAAACCGGCTAGCACCTGGAGCTGGGTGATGTTGCTCCACAGGTCCAATTCAGACCATGGGCTGTATCTATGACATCCCTCCCTTAGAGAAATACAATAACCTTTGGCCTAGCTCTAGTCAAGCAGGAGTTGCACCTCCACTTTTATTACACAGCAAGTAATGCAATAAACATTATATAAGACAGTCTCTCTTTGCATCTATTCTGCTGTATATCCTATGCTGCTCCATTTAGTGATTTACAGTTTTATTTTATACACAGGTTAAGAAAGCTTGTGCAAAGAGAGAGAGAGAGAAAGAGAGATTGAGAACGAACACACATCAACTGAACATATGCTTTCTCTGTATATATAATGTAGTGCGTCCTTCAAATGAACCTCTTTTAGGGAAGATGTCTTTAGAAGGTTGCACCGAAAAAAAAATTAAAGGTGGTCTTTTTCTTATTCTCCCCATAAGCCTAGGGCAGTTTAAGATCTTTCCTAGTGACTGCATTGGTGTATTTCCCTTCCCTCAATTTATTTAATTCTGTTCTTGAAACTGTCTCCAGTTGCCTTTATGAGTAGCTCAAGGCTACTATGTTCTAATGTAATGTTTTATTTTTCTTTTACAACATACAGGGTGACGATATTGAAAATTCAATAACTTAAAACAAAACTTTGTGATTTTAAATCAAGACCATCCAAGAGCAACTCCCCTAGTGCACTGAAACTTAATGAAAGAGTTTCAGGTCCTCTAAATATGGAATTATTTTCTTCCATAATCACTAACTGTTCTTCAAGGAGGCGAATCTTAACAAGACAATAAGCTAAATGTCTAACCAAGAAAGCCATGCGATAATGACAAGTGCTAAAAATATTTAATGATGTTTGTTTAAGGAAAACCTGCATGATGTATGCAGCATTGTCACTTGACAAAGGCATACAAAACTCATAAAACTGCTGTTAACCATTCCAAATTATGCACACATCTATGTATATACATATATACATATGTGCACTGTATACACACACACATCCATTATACACACACACACAAAATATAAAATGTGTATGTATATAACTGGTTGGGTAGAATTAACACTAACTGAAGCAAAATAAAAACTGACAATGCATTAGCAGTTGAGTTACAAAACTCAATTTTTTGAAGCTATCCAAATTCTCTCATACTTAAATACATGTAGTCTCTTGGGGCGCCTACATACGAGCGCAGAGGCTGCGCCGATGTGCTGGAATTCCAGCTTGTCAGACCAGACTCAACTCAGCCTCCTGCATCTCGTGTATCAGTGTCCCCGTGCTTCAAAGCAACGCTGGGGATGCTTTAACTAAAGCTCATTGAACAGGCTTTAGTTCGAGCACTTCTGACGCCATTTTTAAGGGTGGGACACTGATAGAGGAGATGTGCTGGTGCTTTAATTAGAGTGGCTCTCCAAGCATGTGTAAAAGTGCCCTTGCTGATTCTTCCATTGATTTTCTTCCTACCACATTCAATTACTTCATGAAACCCAGGGAAGAAGAATCTCTTCTGAACAAGGGGTGCATAAATGCCAAGTATTCGCAAAAGGCTGCCTTCACTGTCTGCCCCTCCCGTACACCCAGTGTGCTTTGGTGGCCAGAACAAAATGAATGTTTTCATTCCTGGGATCTAGATAAAAAGATGACATGCTGAGGAGCCCAAACACTCAGCCTTATTATTCTTGACCTTGTAATTCTTATGTGTAGGAGATTGATAAATGCCCAAATGGCATGGCCAGACGATTATTGTTTTTATACTACCATTGGTGTATAACAAGTTTATAGCGATCAGATGAAAAAGTCACTGATGTGTAAAACCAAATGCTGATGGTCTGAGAAATTTTTTGCTGGAAATAACCAGAGATTTGAGATAATGATGTTTTTCTGTTTTTTTTTAAAGCAACAAAACCAAAAATAAGTTATTTAAGAAAAGCTAATTTCAAATGCTATTTAGCAAGTAAATATTGTCCGTTGCATCAGCACTAGAACTGAATCCACATACACTCAGGTTATCAGAAGATTACACACTTCTATTGTCACTTTCATAAAATTGTTCCGATAGTTGCAACATGCACGCGCACCCCCTCCCCCAAAACAGATTACAATTGTCCTCACACATTTGGCTATCCCTTTTTTCACTGAAATCATGAATCTGATGAGAGACTGTCAATCTGGCTTTCATGCAAGTATGAAAGCTACAATGGTTTGAAAACTATTTACAGGAGTTTAATTGACCAGCATTTTTCCCCTAACTTTCACACAACACTATCTAAAAGCAGGATAATGCTGGCAGGTTTCAAATGCAGGGGAAGAGCCCCTTCCTGTACTCTCAGAAGAAAGACTCACTCCTTTATTCTTCATGAAGGGAACTGTATTTATCTTTTTTCTCTCCAAAGGCCCTGCAGGCTGATTGTGCTATATCACTATTCAAAAGCACTATTTCTCAGTAGTCTAAGCCAGTATTGCTTAACCTGTGGCCTGCGGGCTAGATGCAGCGCAAGAAGCTGGTGTGAAGAGCCCATCACCGGCATGTCAGCGCAAGTGACTGCCCCTCCTTTCCCCCACTGAATTCAGCGAGAGAGGAGAGGAGGGTATGAACAGCAGTGGCGTTCACCCACACTTCCATGCCAATGAGCTCAGTTTTCATGAAGCTCCAGAATGCAGGAGCTGAGCATAGCTGCCATCTACCTCCCTCCCTCCACTGAATTCATCGGCAGGGAAAAGAAGGCCCCGAGCAGTGGCAGGTCTCGCCTCCTGGGCTCCAGAGCTGTACAGAAGCTGTGGCTCTAGCCAGAGCCCGTGCTGACATGCCGATGAGTTCAAGCAGCTCCAGAGCCAGGCCTGCCCCGCTCCTCTTTTCCCTACTGCTGAATTGGGGGTGGAGTGTGGCTCAGGGGGTAGGAAGAGGGGAGACAAAAGGCAGCAATGCTCAGCTCCTGGGCTCCAGGGCCCTGTGAAAACTTTGGTAGCTGGAAGGGGAAAGGTGGT